GAACTCCCCCACTCGCCTTGAGATATTTCTCGATCGCTGTCTCGAGCTCGCGATACTGGCTGTCGATCGCAAGGGTGACGCGAAACAGCTCGGGTTTGTTCTCTACCTTTTTGGTGGGACGAACTCGGCACGCTCGAACTTCGTTGGACAAATCCAGCACGGGCTTTTTCATGATCACCTGAGTCCAGTACTGCTCTATCACTGTCTTCACATCTGGCGGACAAGCTGGGTCCGTGCCGATGCCGTGAATCAGCGCGCTCCAAACGTGCAAGAAAGGGGGGCCGATATCCTCTTTCTGGCCCGCTTCGGACATCTTCTGAACTTTGGTGTGATATGCCACTCCTGCGGCCTTCGCCGCCTTCACGGCGGGGTTCGTGATGCAAATGAGCCACGTCTGGAACACGACCCCGCACACTTCGCGCAGCTCCGCTGCGTGGCTCAAGGCGAGCCTGGTCAAAATGACGATTAATTGCTTGAGAATCGCTCCCTTCCCGCCTCCACCAGCAGCTTGAGAGGCGTCCTCCACGAGAGATGCTCCATCCACCCGACGTACCTTTGCCCTCGGCTCCTCCCCCTCCAGCATCCAAGCCGGCTTCGCATCCATGGCGCGGCTGAAATTGAGGCACAGTCTCAAGATGCGTGCAAAGGTGTCGCTGCAATTGCTCGAACAGTCCTGCAACATACGGACAAAGTGGACATGCTAGAGCTGACGGCACACGAATTTCAGACAAGTTCCTGGTCGCATCGGAAGCACAGACTCCCCGCCGAAGACTTTGCGATAAATGTCGACGACAACTCTCACGATGCGCAAAAACGAGCCCACATACACAACACTGGTTTGACACGGATAATACATGTGCAAGTTCTTGATATCCATGATGTGCTATGATGTGTGTGTGCACCGCACGCCTATCCCGAAGTACTCGCCCACAGACTTCCCCATCAGGATTTAGCAGTTCACAGCGAAACGCCCCTGGATCATCATCACAAGGTATAACTCCTGAAACTTCTTCAGCCTCAAGAAACTCTGGCGGTGGGATCCGAACACCTAGAATGCGAGATCGAAGTTGTCGGGGGTCGAGACGATTGAAGGCCTCGCTCACCTCAGGGTCCGAGAACGCCAGGAAAATACGATCTCCCAAATCCTCCAGAAAGGCTGCCCCATCATCAATATCGGCTAAAGCCTGAAAATCTCTTGCAACCTGCTGAGCCCAGGGGGAAGCCCTCGATGTGAGACGCCCGCCATCTAGCACAGGCACATCACATTCAAAGTGTCCAAACAGAGCAGTAATAACTTGTTGATTCGCAAGCGGAGCACGAGCCAGGGACTGCCAGTAACGCAAGCGACGAATGGTGAGTTCTGCGCCCAACGGCACAAGACGCCACCATTGGAGAACAGCTGCAGAGGTCATGGATCTGGGATGTCCAGGAGCCTCTCGGTCACATGCTTTCCCACCCATCGCCCTTCTAGCGTACCCAGCCACCAGGTTAGTCAACTTAGACAGCTCGGCCTCACTAGGTAAAAAGCCCTCCAGCCCAGATAAAGCAGTATTATATATCTTGGAGATAAGAATGCACCTACGTAGCCGATGTGGAACTCCAGGGACACTCCAGAAGCCTCCGAGAGAATACCAGGCCCTTTGCAAAGCCTTACCCCTGGACTTGAGTTCGGGCCCGAACTTGGTCGCAGACGACGACATGATGAACCCAAGACTCTTGATTTCTAAAGCCGCTTTGCCAGGGAACTCGATGAGCCCATCACGGACCTCCCGAAGATCGCGTCCCGCCCCAGGACCTCTAATAGACAGGAGAGTGTCTTGCTTAGTAAGATTCTGCCGAAACCCACAATCTGCTAGAGCCGTATCCAGCTCCTGATTGGACCTCACAGACTTATTCACAAGAATCATCGCCGTATGCCCTGAAAGCTTCTTCGTAAGGTCGTCGGCGTACTTAGTGAGTGAGAGATCTACCAGCTGACGCGTAATAGGACAGCGAGCACGCATTAAAGTCGAATGTGGATCCCACTGGTGCTGCATATCACACCAGTTCAAAACAGGCGGCAAAAAGGTTCGCACGAACGCGTTCACGGCAAATCTGTCGCCCATGAGGCCGCCGCAGCCTGGGCGCAAAACAACATCCCCATCACTTCCCCGTAGAATAGTTGCAGCACAATCCATACGCTGTACTCCAAATCCCCTATCTCCCTCCTTGAAAAGATCAGAAGCAGCAGCACGCATACATCTTCGATCGCTGGACGCGAAAGCGTTGGTCAAGTCGTGAGCGTTTGTGATATAAGACAAGGACGAGGAGGAGGAGGAGGAGGAGGAGGAGGAGGAGGAGGAGCAGAAAGAGGAGGAGGAGGAGGACGAGGGGGAGGGGGGCAAAGGCTCCTGCTAATCCGCGGGGGCGGGCGAGGGCCGTCCACGACGTCTGGGCGAGCCATCGCCGGCGCCCCACCCCTGCCAGCCAGACCCGGGGGGGGAAGGGGAGGGAGGGAGGGAAGAGGGAGGGAGGAGGGAGGGAGGCGAGGGAGGAGGGAGGGAGAGGAGAGGCCCATGGAGGGAGGGCAGAGGAAGGGGAGAGGGGGAGAGAGGGAGGGAGGGAAGGAAGGAGGGGAGGACGGAAAGGAGGAGTGGGGAGGGAGGAGGAGGAGAGAGAAAACAGGAGGAGCAGGAGAATGAGGAAGGCGGAGGAGGAGGAGCAGTAGGAACGGAATGAGGAGCATAAACATCAGGGGATGGCGGGGGCGGGAACAGGCGATGCCGATAACGACGAGGAACGAACTGAATCCACGAGTGTGGCCTGTGGTGGGTCGAGGGTGCGCTTCTGAACGACGGGAGCAAAGCACGAATGCTGAAACGTGGCTAGCGCTGCAGTGGGAGCACCACTGTGAAGGGACGAGAGCGTTCCAATCAGACAAAACATATGACGCATCGACTCTTGAACTTCTCTCTGTGCGGAAAACGATGAGCGAATGAGGTGGGAATACACTCCCGCATAGCCAGGGGAGAGGGGAGAGTAGCACTCCGTGTGAAAAATGATGGAGGAAGGGCGAGGGGGAAATCGGAGTGGGGCGGGGGGAGAAGGCGCGGGCACGCAGACGACGACTCCGCCTGCGACAATGCCGAGGGCAGCGGCGACGGCGGCGACGACTGCGAAGAGGAATGCGAGCACGAAGACACCCTTGCCCACGGTGGCGAAGACGGAGGCAGAGACGACGACCGAGACGCTGGCGGCATCGGCGCCGACACCTGGCATGACGCAAGCGGGTCCTGGACCCTGGGAGCACTCGCCAGGAGCAGTTCTTCATCCCGAGTCGTTGTTTGATGGGCTTCTGGGGCCGAAGCACGGCCCCAGAAGCCCGCGGGCGGCGAACACCTCAGAACCCCCGCTCCAACAGAGGATGTGGCGGGCCAGAGATTTGGGCCCAGGCTCTGGGAGATACAACGGGTTTCATCCGTCCTCGATAGAGGTGCGTCCGGATACTCTGGCGGGTGTATCCCTGAGTTTTCCCTTTTTTTCTAAGCAGCCTAAGTCTTCGGGCGGAACTCGGGGATTGGGAGCGAGAACTCGATGTTCCAACCTACTTGAGCCTTGATCACAAGAAATCATTTCGAACACCAAGAGAGTACCGAAACTTGAGGGTTTTGTTCACGCGTCGGGCCCTGGGAGGCGATGCTCGTTCGACACTGCTTCGATCCTTTTCTGTGTGCTCGAATTGATTTCTGGGTGCTCGAAATGACTTCTGGGTGCTCGAAAAGATTTCTCGGATGTGGTCCTTTAGTACGACGGGAGCAGCACAGAAACCGTTAGCGAAAATCCTCAGGACCCCCAGAACCGGTTAACGGCGGGGCTCTTCGCAGAACCCCCCCTGGCCTTCTCGGAAGCTCTCTCCGTATCCTCCTCCTCCTCCTCCTCCTCCTCCTCCTCTGCGGCTTCGAAGAAAGCTCAGAAGTTCTTTCAGGGGGCACGAGATCTTCTGAGCCATCCGAGAACGCCAGTCCCCTCTGCCTTCATCCCGGAGGCGCGCCGCCGATTTTCCCTCGGGCCCCCTTCCCCTTCGTGGAGGGGGAACGCCGCTAGGGCTCATGGGGGGAAGCATCGACCTGGAATCGGCGATGCATCGCCGACAGGTCGGCGATAGGCACCCGATAGCGAAACCGCACGATCCTGGGCGGGGCGGGCTACCGGGCCCCCGTCGGCGATCAATATCCGATAGGGGGTCGACGCATCCGCCCCGGAGACGATCCCCCCAAAACGTGGCCCCCTGACTTTCGGATCATGACTCGGCTCCCTGGCGGCCGCTCGCACCGGAACTCAAGGGGCGAGGCGCAGCCACGAGAAGGCATGCGCCGAGGCTGAATAACCGCCTGACTTGGTGGTCCCCAAACGTGGTGGTGAGAACACCCGGTGGTGAGTTTTGGGCGATTTGGCTAATGGTTTTCGAGCGCTGGCTGGCCCAGGAAACGCAAAACCTCGTGGCGACCGCGTGTCCCCAAACCCGGTGGTGACCCAGAATTATTTCTTTGGGGAATCGGGGTCACCACAGGGTGTCTCACCACCTGGTTTGGAGACCACCAACTGACTTTCGGATCATGACTCGGCTCTCCGGCGGCCGTTCGCACCGGAACACCCCGGGCGAGGCGCAGCCCTGACAAGGCATGCGCCGAGGCTGAAAAGCCGCCGCAAAATGACAGCATCGCCCGAAAGCCTAGGACCCCAAAGCCTTTCGTCCCCTCGCGCCTGTACCCCCCAAAGTTGCCCCTGACGCCCACCTCCGTGGCAGGACAGGGGGGCCCCCGCCTGGAGCCGCCGACGGCATCCCGAGGCTGGAGAGCCGCCGAGAATCGACCAGGTCTCCAGAAGACCTCAACCCATGACGCATCCCCCCCCCTCCCGAGCCTGTCCCCAACCCGAACGTGGTCCCTGAGCTCCACTGCGCCCCCCGAGCGTTGCCCCCGACTTCACCCTCCGTGGCGGGACAGATGAAAGCCCCCCGCCTGGAGCCGAGCGCCTCGGCGCGGCCGTCGCCGGCGCGCACCAGGTGCTGAAGGAGCTCGTCGACGCCCATTCTATGCAGCACCTGCTGGGCCGGCGGCGGCGACGGTCTTCGCGAGCGCCGGGCATGTCCACATCCACTCAATGCCCTCCTCCTCCTCCTTCTCGCATCTCCCTCCTCCTCCTCCTCCTCCTCCTCCCTCCTCCTCCTCCTCATCCTCCTCCCCCTCCTCCTCCTCCCCTCCTCCTCCCTCCTCCTCTCCTCCTCCTCCTCCTCCTCCTCATCATCATCATCATCATCATCATCATCATCATCATTCTCCCCTTCCTCTTCCTCTTCCTCCTCCTCCGCATCCTCCTCCTGGTTCCCGTCATCCTTCCTTCTTCTCTTCCTCCTCCTCCTCCTCCTCCTCCTCCTCCGCCTCCTCATCCTCCATCGAACCCGGTATCCTCCCACCTCCCTCGATCCTCGCTCCTCCCTCCTCATCTTCATCCTCCTCCTCCTCCTCCTCCATCGAACCCCGTATCCTCCCACCTCCCTCGATCATCGCTCCTCCCTCCTCATCTTCATCCTCCTCCTCCTCCTGTTCCTCCTCCTCCTCCCTCGAGCCCCTATCCTCCCACCTCCCTCGATCCTCGCTCCTCCATCCTCATCTTCCTCCATTCCTTCTCCTTGTAGATGACTTCTCCATGTCGCACCCAGAGGCCGGTTTTCAGGGCGAGCCGGTCGTTTCGCCTGAGACTTTTCCACACCATCTATGACTCTGAAGCTTAAAGAGGTGACAAGAGTTTCACACATTGAGGAGAGGGTCGTTTTCAAAATGTGGCTCTCGCCTCAGCACCGCGCACATTCGTTTTAACGATTGTCAAGAATTCCACGGGTTCAAGGCGGGTCGTTTTCAAAATGTGGTTCTCGCCTCAGCGCCGCGCACATTCAATTCAAAACTTTGCAAGAGCTTCACGGATTCAAGGCGGGACGTTTTTGAAATGTGGCTCCCGCCTTAGCGCCGTGCACATTCGTTTGAAAAATTCTCAAGAGCTTCACAATTTGAAGGCAATTCCTTTTCAAAATGTGGCTCTCGCCTTAGCGCCGTGCTCATTCGTTTTACACATGTTCAAAATCTTCATGTTTTGAGGGCGGGCCGTTTTCGAAAATTGCCTCCTGCTTTAGCGCTGCGCACATTCGTTCTAAACAGTTACAAGAGCTTCCCGGATTGAGGGCGGGTCATTTTCAAAATGTGACTCTCGCCTTAGCGCCACGCGCATTCGATTCAAACCATTGCAAGAGTTTTGCAGATTGAAGGCGGCTCGTTTTCGACATGTGGCTCTCGCCTTAGCGCCGCGCACATTCGATTCAATAAGTTGCAAGAGCTTCACGGATTGAGGGCGGTTCCTTTTCAAAATGTGGCTCTCGCCTCAACGCCGCGCCCATCCGCTTTCAACACTTGCAAACCGTTTCACGGATTTTAACTATCAACGTACCAGAAACGGTGCTTTGGAAGGATTCCGGATTATGCGGGCTCAACAGCTTGTTGATTCGCGGTGTCGAAGTTCCCAAGAAGGCGTTCTGGCACGATTCTGGATCGTCAAGGCGCAGCAGTCAGGTTGATACGTGGCGTTGAAATCCCGAGAACAATGTTTTGGCACGCTTCAGGGTCTTCAAACAGTTGTCTTCCAACGAGGCAGTTCCCTCAATGGCAATGAACCGTTGCAAAAATCTGTGAAGAGGGAGCTTGGAAGGAGGGTTAATTCCAACATCGTTGATGACTCTTGGGTTTGCACTGGTCCTCCTCCTCCTCCTTCTCCTTCTCCTCCGCACTCCTCCTCCGTCCTCCTCCTCCTCCGTACTCCTCCTCCTCCTCCTCCTCCTCCTCCGTCCTCCTAATTGCTTCACGGGCGGCGAGCATATCCCTGTCCACGCCCTCACAGTCTGGATTCAGGGGCGCGACCCCGTATGTGGACGGTCGCGTGGATGCATTCCGCGCCGGGCACCCACGAAAGAGCGCCCCGTTATCCATGGGGTTGCGGCCCAGGGGCGCGGGCCGCGAGGCCGTGGATGTGGACATGTTTCCCGCCCACGAGTTCTGACGACGACGACGACGACGACGACGACGACAGCGTGGGCTGACAACGGCAACGACGACGAGAGCGACGGCGGTCGCATGAAGGCCGTGGGGCTCTTACCTGCTCGTACGTCATTCCTGCTAGAAATAAATATATATATATATATATATATGTATATATATATATGTATATAAAGGCGGCGAGAACGCGTCTCCCGAGTCTATCCCATCAGCCGGTTGGGCGTAGGTGTTTTAGGGAGTTGAAGTTTCAGACCTCCTTATTCTCCCTCGGGATAAGGTTTACCTCTCCCATTACCCCTTCTCCCTGGGTCTCGACGGGGGGGGGGCGCGAGACAGAGCTCTCAGGATGGCCGAAGACGGCCCCAGAAATCCCCAGATGGCATGCACACTGGCTCAATATAGCGCAAGATGGTTCAAGATAGTCTCCAATCTGTCTTTAGGCAAACTCAAGAGCGCGCCACCACGGCCCCGAATGGTCCGCGAGCCTCTCATGGACGCCCCCGAGGTGCAAACCACGCAAACCACCAATGTTTGCCTTCGCGCATTGTCGCTTCCGATCGGCTTTGGAGGCATAGAGATGGTTTCAAGATCGACCAACAGAGCCCCAAGAAGGCACAGGAGGGCTCTAAGACAGCCCCAACAGCGGCCCAACAGGGCTCCAAGCGGCGGCATTATGAACTCCCCCTTTCTTACATCGATTGCCTCCAAGATTGCGCCAAGATGCCCCTCGAAGTGCCCCGAGGGGGCCCCCAAAGAGCCCCCCTCCCAAATGATTCCAATTGGGTTGCAAGATGGCCTGTAAACTGCCGAGAGGCTCCCATGGCCGAAGACTCACTAATAATTTCATGGTGGACTCCTGGGCCTGTTCAGGCTGATCCCGACCTTCGGTTTGATGGCTGCCCCCCCCTCTGTTCCATTGTTCGCTCCTACGTTTCCCTGGTCAAGGCCACTCGGCTGGGCATCGCTCTTGGATGGGCATCACTCTCTGCGCTGAACACCGCGGGGGCCCCAACAAAACCCTCCTCTTCTGTCAGGCTGGCCGGCCAACCGTCCGGCGCGAGGAGGAGAACGGCAACGACGACGACGCAAAGGGGGACGACGACGACGACGACGACGACGACGACGATGACGACGACGAAGATGATTAGGATAACGGCAACGACGACGACACAAGGACAACGACGACGCGAGGAGGAGGAAAGCGGCAACGACGACGACACGGACGGCGAGGACACCGACGACGAAGGCGACGACGTCGACGACGACGAGGATGACGACGAAGACGACGACGACGGCGGCGACAACAAAAAAAAAAGGAAGGCCTCGCTGCACGTGTGCTGCAGGCAAGCCGTCACACGCACCCGCGCGGAGGAGCCCAGCTCCACGACGAACGACCGGACCGTCTCGAGAGCCGGGGGGCGCCCCAGAATGGCGGCGGTGGACGTGGTCTCCGTCTAGAGACCACTAGCGGCGATCAAAGACGGCCCGACGAGACTCCCCTTCGGGTGATGAAGAGGTTCGGGGGAGGGGATGGGAACCTTTTGGTGTGCGTGGTACGCACAGTCCAAGTCACCGGTGGACACACCTCGCGGCAGCATCCTGGAAAACATGTCTTGGGCATGTTAGCCAGCGCGGGCCCAAAAAATGTGACTCTCGCAATATATGATGTGCAACCTGCGTGGATTAGTCTAACTGGCGCAATATATGATGCACAATGGATGTGGTGCAGTCATCCATGTGGAACAATCTACGCGTTCCAACCGAGATTATGAACTCTACGGTGTGCAATTCACCTGTGGAACTCGCAACCTCAAACCCATTGCTCGCGCAACCATCCCACCTACCAACCCGCAACTTGTCTTGCAAAAACCGAACGGCGGCTACTGCCATGAGTGCCTGGTGTTGGCAGGTGCATCTCTGCGGCCGCGCCAGCCCGCGCATGTGCTTGCGCGCGGCGGGCAGCTAGTTTGGCGTGACCGACGCGGCCGCGTTGGCGCTCACCGCTGGGCACATCCCAGCGGCCACTTCAGTGCGAGTCGGCGACTTGGGAGGGCGAGGTGTCATGGCAACGTCGACAACAGTAGGCTCGACGAGGATACTAGCGATGCCAATGGCGATGTCGACAACGACGACGGCACGGCCAGTGACGGCGCTGTTGCTGAGCACGCCGACGACGATGACGGCGTCCTCGCGTTGGTGATGAAATTCGACATGCGCGCACGGCAGGCATGCGATTAGCGTGCATGGAAATATTTGACACGGATCGTGCCCCCCCAGCACGCGCGCAAGTGCGTTCGAATGATTTCGGCATGTGGCGCGAGAGGCCCGACTGGCAGAATTCAATGAAAATGCAAGAACACCTAAGGTGTTTCTCGAGATTTCGTTAGAGCGCGACCGCAAGCTTTTTGGAACAGTGTCATTGCAAAACCATGTGTGTTTCAGATGGTTTCGCGACAGTCGGTCCGAGTTAAAACCGTAACACTTGGCGCGCGCCCTTCGTCCCATGTATTGCAGAACGGATTTTCGCGACAGCACCCGCGCACGGGCGTTTGAACAAGTTCGACATTCGCGCGCGCGACACCCGTTGGGTAGCATGTTACGAAAGTGTTGAAAACAAAACCTTGGCTTTCTTAAGAATGGTTTGAAAATCCACGTTGCGAAAGTGTTTGGGCACTCGATGTTGAAATCCTTACGAAACCTACGGTTGTTGAAAGATTTCGGCATGCACTCGCGACGACGCGCGCGTGCGCACTTCGTCCCATGTTTCGCAAGGAATTCTAGAAAGCTGATGGTTTGGATTAACGAAAGTGCGCGCGTAGCATTTGCAGAGAATGACGGGCGGGGGGGGTCGATACTGGTTGGGCTGAAATGGAATTAGTTCATATTTCGGATGGACGATGGAGCAGAACCAAATGTAAATTTCAATACGAAAAATGGTACGGATAATCCCGGGGGAGAGGGGTATCATATAATTTGTTTCGGGGAAGGAGATTAGATGTGGGGCATTCTGAGTGGTGAAATATATGATGTGCGATCTATGCGGTGCTATCTATGTGGTGCAGCTTCTGCTGTGCCATATATGTGGTGCAGCCTATGATGTGGGATCTCTGTAGTGTAATATATGTTGATTGTATGTGTGGGGGGAATATACGGTACAATTCATGCGGTGCAGGCTACGCGGTGGAATACAGGTGTGCAATCTATGTGGTGCGCTGGATGTCCTGTGGTGCAGTATACGTGGTACAATCGATGTGGTACAGTGAATATGGTGCGCCATCGATGTGGTGGGTGTTGTGCAGTCTACGTAGTGAAATCTAACAGTGCAGAGCAAGCAATGCAGAGCAACGCAGGGGAATACCAAGCAATGCCCACACATGCAAAGCAATGCGAAGCAATGCGAAGCAATGCGAAGCAATGCGAAGCAATGCGAAGCAATGCGAAGCAATGCGAAGCATTGCGAAGCAATGCGAAGCAGGCGGCGACGAGGCGCCGGGCGGCGACGAGGCGGCGACGGTGGCCACACGGTGGCCAGCGCGGCCCGCAAGCCCAGACGACGGGCGGCGACGTGGCGGCGACGGCGACCACATTGCCGCCAGACCAGCGCCCAGGCCCAGCCGACGAGAGGCGACGAGGCGGCGACGTGGCGGCGACGGCGAACACGTAGCCTCCAGACTGGCGCCCAGGCCCAATTCCCTAGAACAGCAGGAACCCCTCAGTGCAAGCACTGTTGGGGGATCATATACAATCATTGAACACTTGATGTGTATACATATATATATATATACACACGCGCATCTCCGCCACCGTGCCCTGAGGCACGAGATGCAGGTTCCTCAGGCCACTTCGAGTCATCTGTCGGGATTTCTGCAAGCGTCCTTTGACCCACAGCCCAGAGTTCTGGGCGCTCCCAGGCGCTCGTGAGGCTTCCCGCATGACACTTCGAGGGACCAGGAGCGCGTGGTTCGGGACATGCATGCCCAACATTGTTTCAGATCGGGGGGCCGTCCTGGAGCCCCGGAGGGCGGCCCGAGGCATCAGGGAGACCTCCGAAGAGATCCTCCCAGGCATCTCCACGAGGCCTCTGACCTATAGCCCAGGCGCGGTGAGCACAAAGGCCGGAGGCTACTATCCATGTGAGGGATGTGTGTTTAGATGTATGTATATATGTGTATATATATACATATATATAGATGTTGGTCTTTGTACACGAGCACAAACACATGTATGATGTATATATATATATATACATACATACGCATGTGTGTATGTGCGTATAACCTACATTTGTACTTCTGTATCGGTGACGCTCTCTGTTGTTCGTGGGGATAAAGTGTGCTTGCTACAAAGTGCCAAACGTCAACGCGATAGTGACGCCTGCCGAAGTGTGCAGAAACACTGGGAGCCTAAGACGTATGAGGGAGGCATCTCGCTCAAGACATCCCAAGCCCTGAAAGAGGCCGACCCGAGCCCTGAACATGTTCCCAAGGACGGGCGGGACAGGACGGGCGGCGCGGCGGAGCAGAGGCTGGCGTCAGCCAACCAGAAATTGAAGAGACGACTACGTCACGAACATGGGACAGAAACGTCTGCACCATGGCCTTACACAGGTATGCGGGATGTGGGGCTGCAGTGGCTGTCCGCTTTTTGCCCGGCGGCGCGGCTCCCTTCAGGACGAAGTGCTGTGGGCCCGTTCTGCTGGCCCTGAGGCCGAGCCCTGGCTGAGGCCTGGCACCCGCGGTCGAACTTGATCGTATCGAGGGGGCCTATGCGGGCGAACAGAAGCTTGGCGCGCTTTCTCCAACACCGCCATAACGGCGGCTCATGTGCAGTAAGCGCTCCTGCTATATTCGCCACGCGTATATAGTTGGTTGCCTTTTCCGCTAGGGTGTGTTTCCTTTTTCTGTCCCCCTTATTTCTTCTCTCCCAAGACTGCCACCGGGACTGTTCCTCCTAATTAAGGCGAGAGAGATCTCCAGGACCTGCAAATCCTCCTCAGAAGGAGCCAGGAAAAACCTGGTCCGCTCGAACGACACGCCTTGTGGCGCGACGTGGAGGCATCTTCAATCAGAAGGGACTGGCCAGGGGAGGGAGGAGGAGGGATGACTAATGAGGAGTATGGAGGGAGGAAGCAGACCGAGCCCCCCTCGGTTTCTGCGACCGAAAACGGGACCGCATCGACGGGGACGATGCCTAGAAGCAAGTGCTTCATCACAACCACCCTGGCGAAGGACCTAACCATATGCAGTTGTGAATACCGCCGCTGCGAGAACTGCACTCAGTGGAGCTCCCTATGGGGCCACCAAGCGCGCGAAGGGTGCTGCGAAATGGGCGGCCCCGCTGCCGCTGGGGCCTTCGGTGGAGCTTCCTATGGGGCACGCGGGGTTTGCCAATGTGGAGGGGGGGCGGAATGCGAACCATGTCGCTGAGGCCGTCGGTGTAGCTCCCTGTGGGGCCGCGAAACGTGTGAGGCGTGTGCCATAGTGGGATGGGCGGCATGCGAACCATGCCACTGGGGCCTTCGGAGTGGCTCCCTTTGGGTGAGGGGTTGGCCACATTGACGGGGCGGGGTGCGAACCATGCTGCTGGAGCCCTCGGTGGAGCTCCACATGGGGCCACGAAACGTCAGGGGCGTGCCAAAGTGGAGCAGGGGCGGCATGCGAACCATGCCACTGGGCCTTCGGTGAGGAGAGCAGGGGAGAGGAGAAGAGAAGAAGACGAGGACCCAACTCATCACAGGATGAATGGGAACGAAAGCTTTCTTCGGTTGTCCCAGAAAAGTGCGGTGACAGACTGCGCGGTGACCTGGAATCCCTGGAGGACCTGACCGCACGATCCGTCACCGCACAGCCTTGGAACATCAGAGGCCCTGGCAGCCGACCCGAGTCTCCAGACCGTGCGGTCACCGCGAACCCCCACCGACTCACCGCACGGTGTGGTGGGCTAGAGGCCTCCTAGATGGGGTCGGAGTAGAAGGGGTCGGAGGATCGCCCCGCATCGCCGATACATCGGCGATGCATCGGCGATGTATCGGCGATGCATCAGCGATGCACCGGCGATGCATCGTCGACGTGGGCGAGGCATCGGCGACGTCGACGTGGTGCAAAACGGGTTGCACATCGAGCCGCATCGGCGATGCATCGACGATGCGGTGAGATCCTCCGACCCCGTCTGCTCCGACCCCATCCGGGAGGCCTAGGTGGGCGCACCGCTGTGGGGGCCCCTGGCAGCAGCTTGGACCTCCCGCCGCCCCTCTGGAGCCCTCCGGGAAGGGCAGGGCCCGGCACACGCTCACGAGCGGGCCCGAGCCGTCGGGCGCGGCCTCTGGCTCGTCCTCGGGGCCGCCATGCCGACGACCACGGCGGCGCCCACGACGGCGGCGACGGCGAGAGCTGCGACGACGGCGAGGGCGACGAGCGGGCCGGGCGAAAGGGGGGGATAGCAAAGCGGGGGTTTTAGAATCAGCTCGCGTAGCTGATTTTCCCGGCGCCTCCCAGCGCCGGAGGCGGCTATGGATCAAAGAGTGGGCCCCTCGGTGGGGCCGAAGCCAGCTGCATGCAGCAGATTTCGTACCCCCCCCCCTTTCCCAATCCCCCCCTTTCGTCCGGCCCGAGACGATGGAGACGGCGATGGCGGCGGCGACGGCGGCGACCAGGAAAACTCCGACAGCGACGACGACGGACGACGGCGGCGAGCGCGACGAGGACGATGACGATGACGGCGGCGACGACGAGGAGCGATGCCTGGGGGGCCCCGTGCGGGTGCGACCGCAGTGGGGGGGGGGCCGTTGTCGTGGCCGATGGGCCCCCAACAACTTGGCCCAAATGCAAGGAATGATGGGCCTGTTTCCCACCACCACCACCATAAGTTGGAGGGGGGAAGGAGGTGGAGGACGAGGAGGAGGACTAGGAGGAGGAGGAGGAGGACGAGGAGGAGGAGGAGGACAACCTCCCCCTCCTATGGTGGTGGAAAACACGCCCATCAAGGAAATCTCGAGCGAGAGCGCCGCTTCTGAGTTTGGAGCCCTCTCTGGCCAGGCCGTTTCGAAGTAGCTTGTGAGGGAGTGCAGCGGGTTCGTGCGGCGTCGGCACGCGCAACGGTTTTCGACGCTGCGTCCACCTGGAACGCGATCGTTCGAGGCTGACTTCCGTCGGGTCTAGTGGCGTCACCGTGTCCCTCGGTGAAACCGAGTCGGAAAATTCACCTTTGAACGCCTTCGCCGGCGTCGCCGGCGCGCCAACGTCGCATGAACCTACAGTATCAGGGGGGGGGGGCGAACTGGGAGAGTGAATGCGGCCTATCGAGCTCACGATGGCAAGGCTGAGCTTGCTCGTGAAACCTGGGCACCCTTAATCTCCAAGGCTGAAGTCCCAATCAGCCCCCGCAATGACCTCACGCCCCACCTTCCCAAGATATCCCCAGCACCGTCAGGATTTCCATGTTGGCCTCCGAAACACCGTGGCCGTGGAGGAGGTAGAGCGAGTAAGCGCAGAGAGAAACACGGCCAGGAACGCGCACCATGGAGGAGATCGCCCTGCCGCCCGCCAAGACACGCTTGTCGCTCGAGAACATGTCAAGGGCTCCTCGAGCAAGAACTGCGACCCCGCTGCTAACGCTTCCAGCTTCACCAGGCGCACCAGGCGCCCGCGCGCGTTTCCATCCCAAAAACAAGGCAGGTACTAAAACTTGAGCTAACGCAGCCGTTTCTCTCGATCGGCGCTCTTGCACCAAAATAGTACGGGCATCCGAGGATGCCAGGAACTTTTTCGAGGGGCACCAGGCGATAGCACTGACGGTCGCAACGACGAGCCCGTCGCCCAACCGCATGCTCGTAGCGAACAATGCCGCACAACACGCTGCATCGGGACGCCTGCTGCCGTGCCGATCGCCCCGAGCCCCCCGACCATGCTCGCACAGGGATATAGAGGAAGTTCGAATTGTGGCAAAACTGCTTCGAATTCGCTGACGAGCTCCATGGACTGGAGGCTTGGCTGGAGCTGCCGAAACGCGCCAGGCAGGAGGCAGACGGGATACGGACTTGGCACCTTGGGCCCCCAGAGGCACCCCAATTGATCCTGGAGCCAAAAGGGCCGAACAAACAACGCTTCTTCTTGAAGGTCCCAGAAGCAATCTGAATGCGCTGCAAAAAAGACGGACGCTCGTGGCTTCAGACTCTGGAGGCAACCGCCGAGACTCTAGATACTAAACAAATTGTACAAAGTCCCCAAGGAGGTTTCGTGCCTTGGCCCACCTTAACAATATCACACTGTCCCACGTCACGCAAGTGCAGCGGAAGGCGAGGAGTATCGCAAACAACGGTTGGTCTTGGCCCGAAGGTCCTTCTGGGAGGCCGCTGCCTGAGTGGCGGCGTCGACAGATCCAGCAGCTAAACATGAGGTATCAGCCGACAGCTCAGAAGCTGTTGCAGCATCTCCCGCACCTCCAGCGCCTGTAGATTCGCAGCCATCACCAGCAGGAGCTCTTCCGCCATTGTTACGAGCTTCGCGACCAGCTCGAACCCCCTCACTTAAGCCCGCCACTGGTTGAACAAGTTCTTGTGCAACCAAACAAACACGCATGACCAACACGTCGCGCCGCTTGGTAAATTCTGCTGGGCATTCTATTCCAGCTCATTCCAGAGGCCGCGAAGTCCTCGAGGAGCGCCGAAGTTAGCCTTGCCAGAAACCAAGTCCCCGAGTTCGGTTGAGGAACCGCATCGCAGCCATTTTAACCGCGTCATATTTGAGTTGACAGATCGCCGCCTTGTAGTCCGCATCTGCCGCCTGCACCCAACTCTCACCCAAGGCCGCCCCCTGCTCGTCGACCTGCTCCTTGAGCCGACCCAAGCCCTGCAAATCCTTCTCAACCTTCGACTCCAGACGATCAACCGCTTGATGGGTGTGCTGCATCCTGGTGCGGGCCGAGAGGACCGCCGGTCGCGATTCTCCTTCAAGATGCTGTGCCAGCAAAGGTGTACTTTGAGCTGCAACAGTGCCCCCCGCCTTGTTGGACATCGCGGATAACTGACGTGGACATTGGCAGGGCCACGCCACCAAATGATGCATTCTGATGCTGCTGTTGACCTGTGTTGACCTGCACCTCCTGCCCCTCAGCCGTGACCCTACTAGGCAAGGGCGGCTGGAACGTCAGCACACGTATCCTTCACCCCCACGACCTCTACATCATCTGCCGCGCGCACCCACACCTTTGCCATGACCTTGCTTGTCGCTGGTACTGGTGCCGCCGCCGAGCCAGGAGGAGTCAGGGGGGATCGCTTGAGTGGACCATCGGCCGCCAGACGCACAAGGGTGATAACCAACAGGCATACGAGGAAGAGGTTCCGACCAATGCTTGCACCAAACGGCAACGACCGACTCCTCTTACACGCGCATGCTGGACACTGCCAGCCGAACTGTCTTCCCCTTTTTGTGTCCTTTCGTGGTCGACCCTCCCTCATTATCATCGCCATCGGACTCGACCCAGGGCTGATACGAAAAGCGGGAATCAAAAACCATCGATCGGATGTGCACAGGTAGGGAACGTACCTTACACAAAAACGTCATGAGGGACATAGGTCTGGCGGGCGAACGCCAACTGCTGGGGCCGCGAAGTCCCATTGCCAACAAAAAAACACAATCCTCTGAACCACCACTGCGGACTTGAGCCAAACTGGCGGCGGATTCCTGGACCCTCCCCTGCTGCTGCTCCTCCTCCCCCCTCCTCCTCCTCCGCCTCATCCTCGTCCTCCCCCTCCTCGTCCTCGTCCTCGCCCTCGTCCTCATTCTCGTTATCGTCCTCGTCGTCATCCTCGTCGTCCTCCTCTTCCTCCTCCCTCCTCGATTTACGTACTTTCTCGATGACGCCCTCTGGGCATCCTCTGGAGCACGGCGACGACGGCGACGACGACGACGACGGCGACGGCAACGATGGCGACGGCGGCAGCAGCGGCGAGGACGGCGGCGGGGTCCTCGAGCTCCAGCCCCTGGTCGCTCGGCCCGACGGCCAGCAGCAGGTCCAGCGCCGCGCTCGTGCGCTGCAGCAGCGCGAGGCCGAGGCTGCGGGCCCCAGCGTGGGGCAGCACGCACACCGTGTCCTCCGCACGGCGGCGGCGACCGCGGCGGCGACGACGAGCGGCGACGACCGACGGTGACCACGATGGATCACGACAGGCGAGTCACGACGACGACGACGACGACGGCGACAGCGACGACAGCGGCGACAACGGTGGATCACGATTGACGGATCACGACTGCGACGGCGGCGGCGACGGCGGCGACGACAGTGCAGGCGCCGACGACGAACGGCACAGCGAGAAGGTGGCGGAAGGGAATTGTGAGCGGACCACTTGGGCCACACCATGGGCCGAGATCACTACTGCAAACGCCCGACCGCAAGGCCACCAATAGCCCGGTCCCGACCGAACTCCTCTCCAACCCGGGCGCCAGACCAATCCGGGGTTCCATCCTGGACGCAGCCGACGAAGGATTGCAAAAAAACCGAAGGATTGCAATCCTTCGACGAAGGATTGCAAAAATCGAAGGGTTTTTTTTGCAATCCTTCGGGTGTTTTTTTGCAATCCAACGCATCGTCAATGAGGAACAGTGTGGCCCAAAAAGCGCCTGGGTGCACGAGGAGCGCAGGAGGAATCACAAAGCAGGGACCTCACGAACAACGAGCCCCTTCCCAAACCCGAACTGTTCACGCTTCGACGACTTGACTGCAGTACTCCAAGCCGCACCAATCAGTGACGGCGAGCCCCCCCACAAACTTCCAAATACATCCCGAAGAACGACGACGACGACGACGACGACGACTGGCCCCGAAAGCCAGCGAGTGCGGTCCTCCGTGCGCCTCAGCAGGCTGGTGCTGAACGAGTGCACACCTGGGGACGCGAAAGGAGACCGATGACGTGACCCAAGGCGAAGGCAGGATGAGGACAAATGCGGACGATGGATCATCGGGATTGTCTGAGCACCAGCTGGTCAGGAGGATGTATCGGGCCTCGCGGCCGCTCCAGAGCGTTTTGGCACGCCCCGAGAGCGTTCTTGGGCACTATGGAGCGCGTTATCGCCTGCCTGGCCTACGTACTCTGCATAATCAACTTAAACGGGCCCTGACACACACACACACACACACATATATATATATATATATATATACACACAAATAACAGGATTCCCCATATTTTCCCATATTTCCTGTGCTTTCGTCTTCCCCCCCACTTCCCATAGTTTCGCATATCTTCCTGGGGATCGACGATTAATTGTGTCTGTGTTTTTCCCCTCCTGATCTGCATAATTAACTACCTCTCCCGAGGCGCCCTCTGCCCAGGACTGCTCCGAGGCGAACCCGGCAGTGGCGCCGAGGGCCCTCCAAAAGGCCTCCAAAGGCGGAATCGAGGCAAAGGCACCGCCGTCGGCGTGTGCACCCCCCCGCGATCGACTCCACAGCTGCCAGACGCCCAATCGCGTCAAACGTGGCCAGCTTGAAAGATTTACAAGGTCGGATAGCTGGGTCCAGAACTGGGCTTCTGGCCTGTTTTTTGGGGGAAAACCAACAGGCGCCGGTACTGCTACTCCCCGGACCTCTCCTGGGGTGCGTTCTGACCAGGATTTCGAGGCGAATCCAGCGGTGGCGACGACGGAGGCCCAGGGGGCCCAGGAAGGGAAAACCGAGGGGAGGGTAGAGGTATGGGCACCTTCTCCTCCTCTGCATTTTTCCAACGTTGCGTTCCAGCTCCTCCCCGAGCGCCGTCGACGACAGGCGGCAGCCGCGTGGCCAGCGCGGGCGGCAGCCGCGTGGCCAGGCCCGGGGGCAGCCGCGTCGCGGGCCGCGGCCGCGAGGCGTCGGCGTCCCCGCCGAGGAGGCCCCACATCGCCGCCGCGGGCCCGCCGGGGCCGCGCCGCGCAGGCACGCCGCCGCGCGCGCACCGCGGGCGCGCGCGCGCCGCCCCGCGGGGCCGCCGGGGCGGCGGCGGCGGCGGCGGCTGAGGCGGGCGGCGCGGCCGACGAGGGCGGCGCGGCACACGGCCGACGTCCGACGGGGGCCGACGAGGGGCGGGGGGGCCGACGGGGTCGGGGGCGGGGGCGACGGCGAGGCCGAGCACGACGACCACAGGGCGCGGCGGCGGCGCGGCCGGAGGGGAGGAGAGGAGGAGGAGGAGGAGGAGGGAGGAGGAGACGACGAACGACGACGACGACGACGACGAAATGGGCCATACGCCGTGGCCGGGGAGTCGGAGGCCGGCAGCGACGGCGGCGAGTGCGTAGGCTGGAGAGGCTCGGCCGCAGTGACCAGCCGCGCGTGAGGGGCCACACGCCTTTCCATACTACACCAGGCACCCTCCTCCTCCTCCTCCTCCTCCTCCTCCTCCTCCTCCTCCTCCTCCTCTTCCTCCTCGTGTTCCTTCTCTCCGCCCCTCCCCGTCAGCCCACATCAGCCCCCCCCCTCCCTGCCCTTCCCCCCTCTCCCCTCCTCCCCGCCCGCCTCCCGCGCCCCTCGGACCTGCTTCTGAGGCAGCGGGCCGGTCCGGGCTCCTCGTGCTGCCCCCCGTGCTCCAGGCTCCGCCCCCCCCCCCCGCCCATTCCCTCCACCCGCCGACCGCCGACCAGCCCCCCGCCCCCAGTGCTCACCCGAATCGCCGAATCGCCGAACGGGCCTCGGAGGTGCCTGCACCGTCGAGTATCGTTTAGCCGATCCCCATCCCCAGCAGCGTGGCCTGGGCCCAACTGGCCGATTTACCCCCCTAGACGGGGTTGTAGGTCGTTCGCTTCGGGTTTCGAGGGGTGTATCCCCAACTGGGGTTGTAATTTGGTGGGGGTTTCGACGGGGATGGAGATGGGGATCGGGGTCGGATAAACGAGACTGAAGCAGCCCTCCTCCCTCCGCGCAGAGGAGCGCACGGCAGCGCAGAATGCGCCCGGAGGAGAAAGTCCCTCCTCCTCCTCCTCCTCCTCCTCCTCCTCCTCCTCCTCCTCCTCCTCCCCCTCCCCCTCCTCCTCCTCCTCCCCTTAGGGGATGGGGATCGGTTGAATGACTACCGAACCATCCGGGCCCAGGAAGGCCAGGCGCGCGCGGAGCAGGGGGGCCCTTGGGTCCGAGCCAGGGCCGGGCAAGATTCCGGCGATGCTGCCGATTGCCATCCTGCTCCGTGGGTCTTCTCCTATCCAACTCGCCCTGCTGCTCCTGACCTCGTCGTCAACCACGCGCGTGTCCTCGCACTCGTCGTTGTCGTCGTCAATCGTCCGTCGTCGTCGTCGTCCTCCTCCTCCTCCTCCTCCACCTCCTCCTCCTCCGCCCCCATCCTCTGCCGCCTCCTCATCCCCTCCTTCCGCTCCGTTCGCCCCCCCACCCCACCCCGTCGAATCGTCATGTCATGTCCTGTTTCTGCTCGACCTCTTGGCGCTCCCTCTCACCCCCCATCCCACCTGTCGCCCCCCCCCCGTGCGAAACAACTAAAACAACAGTGGGAATGACTGCCTCTGCTCTGCCTTCGCTCAACTCCGCGCTACACTCGTCGCCAGTGCAATGCACCGTCGTCTGCGAGAGGGGCGGCTGCGGAAGGGGGAGGAGAAGAGAAGGATGGGGGCATGACAAGGATGGGGAGCAGCAAACGGGCAAAGGAGTCCTCTGGATGAGAAACGAAGGACGGATGAGATTACGGATGAGGGAGGAGCGGAAAACAAGTAAGAGGAAGAGGAGGAGACTCGAGGAGGAGAGGGATGCCCGAGGAGGAGGAGGACGACGACGACGACTGGCGAATGACAACAACGGAGGACGAGAACGAGGATGAGGAGATGGCCCGTGGCAGAGGAGGCTAGTAGGGAGGGATGCCTAAGACAGGAAGGATGACAAAAAAAACAAACGAAGAGGGAGAAGAAAATGAGAATGGAGGTGGCGGACGCGGAGAAGAGAGGACGAGGAAAGAACGTGAGACGAGCAGGGAGCACTGTCGCCGTCAACAATACCAGCGACCACAGACGCGGAGGCCCACCTCGTGGAGGTCGGCCACCACTGGCCCGGCGTTGAGCAGGACGTCGGGCAACCACGTGCCTTGCTTCCCGCGCGGGGGGATGGGGGCGGGCGAGTGGGCGCCCGCGCGAAGCCTGGTTCCCCCTGCCAAACCCGATAGGAGGGCTGCGCGATAAATCGGCTGCACGCAAGAGTGACCCCAGGCAGGAGTGACCTACAGTTCCCCAATCAACGCTTGCACTGAAGGGGTCCTAGCGGAAGTTGAAAGATTTGGCGAAAACTCCCCGCCGATGTTGGTAGCAGGCTGCCCGGGTTCCCGGTTCCGGGTTCCGGGGTTCCCGGTGATTGGTTCTGGTCCGATTTCGGTGGGTTCTGGGTTCCCGGGCTCCCGGGTTCCCAGTCGTTCTCGTCGGCGACAACCATCCACTGATTGGGGTTTTCCTCTGGTTTGAACCATTATGCGCGGATAACGGGGGGGGGGGCACAAGGTGGCCACATCCAAGCGCACAAGCAACCACTATCGCATCGCGCTCGGCGATCGGGGAGACCCTGGTGAGCCCGCACCAAAGGTCACTCCGGCGCAGGGTCACTCTTAAGCGCAATTGCATAAAATGATGCGAGTCCCTAGGACGCCCGCCTGGGTCAAAGCTTCGAGCTCCCCATCCTGATCGTCGATGTCGACTCTACCCTCGGAGGTTTTGTCCCGCCCGCGTACTGCCTGCCCGAACTACTGAAGCCTAGATGAGGGCCCAGTCCGGACTCGCGGGAGCTTCGGGTGCTTACCCTCGCGAATCGGTTTCCGGGCCTGCTCGGCACAGTGCCGCCGAGGCACAGTGGTACAGGCGCAGGGCAGGAGGAGGAGCAGGGCTCTGGAAGCTGGGACCTGCGCTGGGGGTCCTGCAGAGCCGACTGCATGTTCGCGCGCGTCCCCCTGCAACAATGCTCCGAGCGGAGCGCCTCTTGAATCTACGTATTCGACGAGGAAGACGAGGATGGCCAAAGGACCGTGGTTCGACGGCCCCTTTAGTTCTTCCTTCTTAGTCCCTCTAGTGCAGACTTCATTTCGATCATCAAAAGCGCCCACAACCGAACTGCCATGGAAACATAAAAAGGCAAACAAACGGCATCGCCAAAGGCTCCATCCGCGAACGCTGCCATCCAATACTTCTTGTACCAAATATATTGTTTTCTAAGGCATGCGCCGGCACTACGGCAAAGCGCGAAGTCCTGGGCGTAGCACCTCCACTCACGGGTGGCACACAAGAGAAAGACAACGCGGCGGCAACACCGTAACTTGCCAGCAGCCACCGGAAAGAGCTGGGCGTCACGTGCGCACGGCGCAGGGCAAAGACCGCAGGGGCGTCAGGCGCCGGCCTGGCCTGCCCACGCATGGGCAAACTCTAGCGCCACGGGGGGCAACAACAACTCCAGAGGATCCGTCTCACGAGTACTGACATTCACGCAACCTGGCGGGTTGCAAACAAGGACAGTGTGTTTGGCTGTCGGCCTGCATCGCCTGGCCAAACTCGTTACCGTGCACTACCGATCCACAGCTCCACTGGCGTCACTGCGGCGATCGTCGATGCGCTTTCCGCGGCGTCAGGCCGCAGAAACCATAATATTACTCGAATATCTGTCCACGTTTTCGGCTCGCGTGTTCGGCCACGGCCTCAGCGTCAAATGCAATGTCCCCAATATTTTTGCGATAGGCCACCACCACCATAGCCGAGCATCCGGAGGCACGCGTGGGCAGAAGGGTACCCGATTGGCAACTTTTCCGAAAGTGACAAGAGCATCATCGCATCGTGGATGCATGTGCACAGAGACTCGATTGCTAAACAGGGGCGGAAAGAGGAGGACTTCGACGCAAACCACGGCGGAGCACTCTTGAAACAATGTTTGAAGTGCTTCGCAACGCCAGCAGGTAGTCAACAAACACTTGATGATCCACTTTGCGACCGCTCTCGGCACCAACGCTTGTACCTCCTGACCTTTCCCTCTCATCCGTTCATCGATCACCTCTCGGGGTCCACCGCAGGGGGGGACCTTGAGGGGGGGGAGTTCGATACACTGGTGCATCGAATTTCCCCCAAAAGCGATACACCCCGCGCGCCCCGATTGTCGACGCCTCTCGGATTCCGACGGCGGTCGGAGACCTCCTTTTACACAGTTGCTCTGCGGTTCGATGTGCCAACGGACCGAACTCACCTTTCCCTGTGGCACCCCCCCCCCCCCCCTTTGCGAGGTGCCGAACCTCCCGACCTCCCCCGCTCATCCGTTCATCGATCACCTCCCCCGTCCACCGTTTCAGGCTCTCCGCCAGAACTCGACAGTTGGCTCGGCGGCGCGCGCGAGCGAATTTCTTGACGAGGGGGTAACTACGGTGGGGACATTTTTTTTATCTATGTGGGCGCCGAGCGGGCTCGGCGGTTTCATGCATAAATTCTCCAATCAGCGCACGGCGAGCCCCGCCGCGCGGCGCGCGCGGGCGGCCGCCGACCCCGCGGCTCTCTCGCGCCCGCGGGCCGCCGCAGCAACTGGGAAGCCGCGGGCGCCGAGGACGCCCTCGAGCCCAGGGCGGGCCTGCCGCGGCTCTTCGGCCTCCGCCCGCGGGGCCGCCGCGACCAGGCGCCGCGGCGCCGCGGCGCGCGGCGGCGCTGCCGCCTGGCCCCCATCGCCAGCCGCAGGTGGCGGGGGCGGGGCGGCCGCAGGCTGCCGCTGCGATGGCGCGGGCGCCGCCGCGAGCGCCTGCTCCTCCGCCCCGTGGCCCAGCCTGGCCCGGAGCGCCGTCGCCCAGCACAGGCGCGTGCTCTCCTTCGGCGGGGCCAGCGGCGCGAACGGATCCTTGGACGCAGGCAGGGTGCCCCGTGCGAAGTCCGTCCGCGCCTGGGCTCGGGAGCCCCATCAGGGACGCAGGCTGCCCAGCCGCCGCGCTGGCCCCACACGGCATGGCCAGGCCGCGATGCGCGCGCCTGGGGAGGCGGCAGCACCCCCAGCACTCTGAGCAGACCAGGGGGGGCTCGGAGCCGTTGCCCTCGACGCGCGACCCCCGCATGAGGTGGCCGTAGACCACCCTCACTCCCGCTGGGCGGGCCGCATCAGCCGCCACCTCAGGGGTTGGGCCGCTGCAAGCCGCCGCTGCCGCCGCCCGCCGCGGGCTGGGCGCGGGCGCCGAGGCCTCGCGGCGCCTCGACTGCTCCTGCACCCTGCGCTGGGGTGCTCGGCGCAGCACCTCCGCGGGCCTATCGGCCGAGGCGGGGCGGCGCCTCGCGGGCGACGGCCGCGAGCAGGAAGCAGCCGCTGCCGCCACTGCTGCCAGGGCCGCCGCCGTGGCGAGGAGGGGGCCGCCGTCAGCCGCCGCGGCCTGCGCCTCGCCGACGCCAACGTCAGCCTCCGCGACGGGCATCTGCATGTTGCCAGCCGCTGACACGGCAGGCCCGCGCACCTCCGCGTCGTGCAACTTCCCGAACTCGCCGCTCCCCTGGGACTGCGACATCGGTGGGCTGAATCCACCTGTCCCAGGGGCGGGCTCCGCCGCGGCGGCGTGCAGGAAGTCGACCTCGCCGTCGAACTCTGCCAGCAACTCGGCAGCTCGCAGCAAGTCGGCGGGGCTGCGACCTTGCCTCCAGCCCCCCCAGGCAGGGCACCTGTGGTGGCGGCGGGCCAGGGTCCCGCTCTCCTCGCCGCGGAGCTGGCACAGAGTCGCAGGCCTGGCGTCGTACTCCTGGACCGCTGCCTCCTTCCTGTCCTTCTCCTTGGCCTTCTCCGCAAAGAGGGCGGAGGAGTACCGCAGGGCGAAGCAGCAGCCGAACTCGTCCTGCTGGTAGTCGCCGTCGCCGTGGAGGCCCCTGTGTGACGCCAACGCTCTTTCGATCGCCCGCAGGAAGGCCTGCCCTTGCACAGTGGGCACCTGGGTCACCTCTTCCAGCGAGACGAGCTTCTTGTCTTCGAACGCGGTGCTGCCCGCCTGCTCGAACTTGTGCCCCAAGCTCCTGGCCACCTGCACCAGGTGCTGCATGTGGCCTACGTGCCCCACAGGGGGTGAGCAGCCCGCAGCAGCCGCTCTGAGCTGTCTGGCGGTCCTCCCGAGGCGGAGGCGGCAACTGGTGAGGGGGCAGAGCTTCCTGACCGCCTTCCTGCGCTGCTGGTCCGCCAGCATCTTCTTGACAGAGCGGGGTCCTTTGGCCCTGCCCTGGTACCACTCACCCTCGGAGGTGCCGAACTGGTCGGTCAGGTGGAGCTCCGCGGTCTCGACGGACTCCTTGAGCCTCCTGAACGGGAGCTCGAGGTAGGCGCTGACCTCCGTGACCGCGAGATCACCGAAGGCCACCCTTCGGGCCAGGATGCGGGCACTGCGCTGGTGCCCGTCGTGGTCGGTCGCCGCCACGCCCCAGGACGTTGACTCCAGCACTCCGACGCCCTCCGAGCCCGCCTGCGCCGCCTGCCCCGTGCTGTGGACGCTGCCGAAGGCGGCGCTGAAGCTGTTGCTCCTGGCCCAGCAGCAGGCGTTCTACAAGCGCATCGCCTCTCCTGCGCCAGGATGACGTCGTCACCCCCTCCATCCTGGATCCGCTCCATCTCCGCCTTCTTCTCTGACCAGGTCGAGACGTTCAGCGTGACGAAGCTAGTTGGCTTCGGTCCCGTAGGCCTGATTTGCTTGACCAGCTGGAGGGGCTTGGCCTGCGGTCGCCCAGGCTGAGGCTGGGCCGCAGGCTGCTCGGTTGCCGCGGCGGCCGCGGGGCCGCCAGGCGGGCGGCTGCTCGCCCGACTCAGAAGAGGACTTGACCCGCAGGTCCTGGAAGGTGCTGCTGTGGCAGCTGACACACTTAGGAAAGGAAGGTGGCCTCAAAGCGGAACCTCCCTCGCGCTCAGAAGTCGCCCCGAAAGAGTCGCGGTCGTCGGGACGGTTCATGGCCTTGAGCCAAAATGGCTACGGAACGGTGGGGGCATTGGATAAAGAACCCTTCGATAAGGAATCCAGGGTCTGGAAGCCAGTGGAACTCCAACCGTGGAGTGGCCATGGACATCACCGCCGCCCTCATCAGTTAAGAAGCCCTCCAAGTTTTGGAGCCTCCTGGGCACATTCCTTAACGAACGCCCCCACCGTAGTCGTCCCGCTCTCGCAAACGCCACAAGGGGGGCCATTGATTGACCTCGCCTGGCCAGCTGCGCCGACCCACCGCAAGTGGGGGGGGCCTGCGTTTCTTCCCGTCCTCTCCCCCCCACCCCCCACACTCCTCCACCTCTTCCTCCTCCTCCTCCTCCTCCTCCTCCTCCTCCTCCTCCTCCTCCTCCTCCTCCTCCTCCTCCTCTCCTCTTCCCCTTCCACCCCTCCACTCGCCACTCTCCTCCCTCCCCCTCTCTCGCCCCCAGAGCTCCTTGAAATCTCTAAGGTCTCTAAGAGCCCGAAGCCCTGCAACTCCAGTTGCATCTTCTCGCACGCCTCGGTACATTATCGCAGGCGGCGCCGCGGCGACGACAACAAACGACCTCGTCGCGAAGGGGGAACCAAACCACGCCACGCGGTCCTCCTCCCTCTGCCATCGCGACCACGACGGACCAGGGACGAGGGAGGAGGGACGACGACGACCTCCCGCGCGGCGCCTGTGAATGACCGTTCGCGCCGCTGCTCGGCCTGCCTCTGCACGAGGTACTCCTTGTCGTCCTGCAGGGAGACCGCCGTCGCCGCCGCGTCCCCACCCGCCTCGTGAGGGAGGCCTTGTGGGTGGCTCTGGAAAGTTTCGGTGTCGGATCGAAGAAGGCGGGCGTCGGCCTGCCTCTGCACCAGGTGCCCCCTCTCGTCCTGCATGGGGTTCGGCGACGCCGCGCCGTCGCCCGCATGGTGGGGAGGCTCTCTGAATGGCTTCGGAGAGGTTCCGCAGGAGGGGGTGGGCTCCGGCCTGCCCCTGCACCAAGCACTCCTTGTCGTCATGCACGGGGTTCGCCGTCGTCGTCGCCCGCCTGTTGAGGGAGGCTTTGTGAGTAGCTCGGGGACGGGGGGGCGGTCCTAAAGTTGTTGGGGGAGGTTCTAAGAAATTCTCAAAGAATATGACATGATATGAGACCAGTCGCAAAGCGAATACGGGATTCCCAGGGGAGGGAGGGAGGAGGGAGGCAGGGAGACGGCAGGGAGGAGACGATATGAGCAGGATGGCGGATGGAAAACAAAGGGAGGGAAGAGCGGGAGGAGGAAGAAGAAAGAAAACGGGATGATGATGGCGAAACGAAGAGGGGAGCGGAAGAGGAGGGAGAGAGGGATGAAAAGAAAACGAAGAGGGAAGACGGAGGAAGAATGAATGAGGGGGCGGACCAGGGAGAGAGGTTGGGGGAGGAGGAGGAGGAGGAGGAGGAGGAGGAGGAGGAGGAGGAGGAGGAGGAAGAGGAGGAGGAGGAGGAGGAGGAGGAGGAGGAGGAGGACATCGCTGGTATCCACAGAGTGGGGGAGAGGAATCGCAGCCCGACAGCGGCCGCCCCAATGTCTCCTGGGCGCCCCCAAGGATGACGGCCGCCGCCCCCTCGGCACGCCAGCGGTGACTGCTGGGCCGAGGCATCGCAAAAAAAGGCGAGGGGGCTTTCTAGGGCAACCCCGAACCTAGCGAAGAGGAAGAGGATGAGCAGCTCCACCGCCACGGGCGCCAGGCCCGCCGTGCGCCGCCAGCTCTCCCACCCAGAGCGCTAAGCCGTGGTCGTCCCACCGTGGTTGGCCCAGCACTGCATGCAAAACCGCCACTCGCAGGAGACAGCCGAGCATGACACGAACTGCTCGGACGGCTCGAATTAACCGCCATCGCAAAGTTGGCAATCACATTCCTCCTCGTCAGGCAGCACGGTCTCCAAGACCAAGGCGTGCCTTGCAGGGCACTCGGAGCTCCTCAACCCCCGCTGGATGGCGTCGTGCCGCAGCTTCAACAGCTGGTTAAACATGACCCCGTCGGGAGCCTCCTCGGCGGCTGCCCCATCCTGGGCAGATCTCCGATCCAGCGGGCCGTAAACGCCCAAAGGGGGCGACGGTCCAGCCGCGCCCTGCTGCGGGGCGCTGCCACAATTCGCCAGCTCCGCGTCGTCGAAGTCCGCAGAGACTTCGCCACCGTTGCAAAGACCAGGCGCCGAAGTCGCTCCACTCGCGGTGAACGATGAGGAGAAGCCGAACTCGTCGCATGAACTGCGAGAACATGGGAGGTGGTGGCGACAGCACCCGTGCCAGGGCAAGGCCCCGCACAACCCGTCGGCGGTACTGGCACGAGGCCCGGGGAGGGGAGCAGCTCCTCGCCCGTCGGCGGGTCCACCATCACCTGAGGGCCACCACCTCCAAACACCGAAGGCGAACAGGAGCGCGAGGCTGAAGACGATGCTCCTGCAGCAGAACGTACCTGGGCACTTATGGGTTGCCCACAACCGTTGTCAAAAGCAGAGCGGGCAATTCTGGGCTGCCCACAACCTTCGTCCATAGCAGAAAGGGGCAATGCTGGGCTGCCCCCGACCTTCGTCAAAAGAGGTGCGGAGATCTGAAGAAACGGGGAAAACAGGCGCAGCCGAAACATGAAATTCTGGCTGGGCGAACGGTTCCCTTGCAGCAGCCACCGTCTCAACGGGCGGCAGGGCAGCCATCCCCCGCAGGGGCCCTTCTGCGGCCGGCGCCGCGGGCAAGTCCGAGACGCTCGTGAAAACGACGGTGCCGTACGTGCAGCGGACGCCCCGCCGCGCGCTCGGCACGAAGACCTCCGCGTCGACCCGCAGCAGCCTGGCCTGGATCTCCTGCTCCTGAGTCTCCTTGCGCACCTGAGACCCCTCGAGAACGGCGAAACCGACCTCGGAGTCCACACCAGCGGATGAAATGGACTTGAAATATAATCCCTGCTCCAAAAGCCACTCCAGAACACCTGCGTGGCACACTGCGCCGCCCGTGACGGGGAGCGGCGGCTGCACCTGCAGGGCGCCGAGGAATAGGTCACGAACGGCGGGGATGACATCCTCGAGGAAGAGGAGAAAGAGGAAGCAGCAGAAAGGAGCAGGGAGATGCGGAGAGTGACTCAGCATCAGCATCATGCACCTGCACGTGCAGGGCGCCGAGGAATAGGTCACGAACAGCGGGGATGACATCTTCGAGGGGGAGGAGGAGGAGGAGGAGGAGGAGGAATCAGCATGAGCATCATCTCCAGCATCACCATCATAACCAGCATCAGCATTAACAGCATCACGATCGGCATCCTCATCATTGTCCTCATGATCAGCACCGATAGCGTCATCATCATCGACATTATTGACAGCATCATTGGTAACGTAATCGAGGGCGCGCCGCTGGATGACCCCAAAGGCGGGGGGGGTGGGACCCCCCCCCCCCCCCTTTCACCGATCCGTCGTCGGGGACCCCCCCCCTCCCTCCCTTTCCCGATCCGTCGTCGGGGACCCCCCCCCCTTTCCCGGTCCGTCGTCGGGGACCCCTCCCCCTCCTTTTCCCCTTTTCAAAAGGGGGAGGGTCCGACCCTCCCCCCTCCCCCCCTTTAGCCGCCAAGTTCGAACCCTCCCACCCCCTCCCCCCCCTTCGCCACGGCGCCCCCGGTCTCCGGAACCCGACCCCCGCCACCACCAACACTAATCCCCACCCTTGCCCTAACCCCTAAAACCAACCCCAACCCTAAGCCCAGGCCCAAGCCCTAGCCCCAAATACTACTCACTAATCATTACGCACTACTCACTACCCACCATTCACAACTCGCCTCTCACTACTCCTTTCACACTACCCACTACTCACGGCTCACTACTCCCGACTCACTACCCAGGACGCACTACTCACTACTCCCTACTCCCTACCCACTACTCACTATAAACTACTCACTACTCACTACCCACTACTCAATACTCACTACTCACCAAACACAACTCACTACCCACTACTCGCTAATCACAAACCTCTGCTCACTACCCACTAACCACCATGCACTACTCACTACTCACACTTCACTACTCACTACTCACTACTCACTACTCGCTACTCCCTACTCCCTACTACCTTCACCG